TTATTATTATTATTATTATTATTATTATTATTATTATTATTATTATTATTATTATTATAATTTATATTATATATTATAAAATTTATATTCTTAATTATAAAAATATTTTATATACTTATTATAATAATTTGTAAATTAATAAATACATTTTTATAAAACAAATAAAAAAATAGAAAGATATCAAAACTTTTATCATAAAATAAATTTGCTATAATTTACGCACTATTATTATCAATATAACATATCATGGTTACCATGACGGCAAATTATAAACGCTTCTTTTATATATTATATCTTTGATGAATGAATGCATCAATTTATCTTTTAGAGACTTGTTTAAAAGACTTGTTTAAAAGAAGAATTAAAGTTAAATATGGCTATGAATAATAACATCGATGCAGTTTTAACTGAATTAGGATGGAGTAATGGATTTCGCATACCCGTAGCAAATGAAGAAAACAAACTATTAGAAGAAGAAGTAATACTATAATTTATATAATACTAATTTCACTTACGTTTGCATCTAAGTTCTTTTGTTTGTATTGCACTTTAGTTTTAAACATGATAAATTTTTGCACAGTAGTAAAAATTTCTTTTATAAAAATTAAATGTATAATAAAAAATAAAAATAATGACACTTTTAACAATTTGAAATATTATTTTACTTATTATTTTTAATACATTTATTCCTATTTTATTCAATTTTCCATAATATTAACATATAATTTTTTATCGAAAGATTGAAAAAAAAATGAAGCTAAAAGAAAATTTGAGTATAAAACTTGAATCAACAGAGGAAAGAATTAAAATGATGAAAAAACATATTAACAATTTAACGACAGAACAAAATATGAATCAAAAACTTTTAACTAATCACTCGGCGCAACTTAAAACCGAAGATCATAATTACCGATTAAGTTGTAATACTGAAACAAGTCTTCGCCAAAAAGCGCGAAATTTTCAAAAAGAATGGAAAGAAGTAAATGAGATAGTATCAAGCATTGAAAAAGAATTAGAAAAAATGACGAAAAAAATAGAAACGTCCAAAAATGTACTAAAGTATGATGAAAATAATTTAAAAGAATGGGAGGAAATATTAAAAGAAAATGAAAATAATAATGAATTAATAGAACAATATATGAAAGAAGATTTAAAAGAATATAAGGTAAAAAAGGAATTAATAAATCTTAAATAAAGTTTAATATAATTAAAAATAATTGTGCAATATAATTATAAAATTTTCTTTTTTGTAAAAGTTAGGAACTGGAATTAAAAAGGCAAAAGCTTAGCAAAGAATTACAAACATATAATGATGCAATGATTAAAACATCTAACGAAGCACAAGAAATGGAAATTATTCTTAATCGAACAACTACATTGTACGATCAAGCATTGACAGAATATCGACAAATGTTTAATCAATGGAAAGAAAGCGTAAACATATTACAGCAAAAAAATGATGATATTAAAAAAATCATTCAAGTACGATTAAATATTTAATTATTTTTCATTTTGTTACAGCGATTATGTCAATTAAATATTCAAAATGTTTCGAAATTATCAATAAAAAATAATAAAGAATAATGAAAGAAACATTTTTTGTCTAATAAGCATGAGTTCGATTCTTTTTTTATTTAAAAAATTAATGAACATAATAAATTATTTAATAAATATATTTAATAAATTAATAAATATTTTTTACATATTTTTTTCTTAGGCATTTTCATAGAAAATAAATAATATTTTAAATATCAATAAATATTAATTGTCAATGTATGATTTAATACTTTTAAATACGAAGATGAAAATGCACAATTTTAATATTAAAATATAATGTACTATTTTTTATTTAAAACTTTATTAAAATCTTAGAAAAAATATTTGATTATTAATTCATAGATATCCAAAGTTTCTATACTGAATATTAATATTAATAATATTAAATGAAATCGAAGATAATTAATATATAAAATATATTTCTTTCATTATTTTTTCAGTATCATTTTAAAAGAATAACGAAAATAAATATTTATAATTTTAATATTTATTAAA